GGAGAAATAACTGAACATATGGAAGATCATTTTGCCTTTGCAGAACTATTATAAACTAGATCACTATTAAGTAACCTGCTCTCTCCCTAATAAGTATCCTGGCAACCAGCTCAGAAGCAGAAAATCTATACTTAAAGTCAAAAAGAACCAAAAAAACCCCTCAAGAGAAGTAAGTAAATTGGCATTATGTGGCTGAGGCAGATCTATAAAATGTAGAAATGTAATCTCACAACATCAGAATCAGAAACACAAATCAAACACACAAAACATCAGAATGTGCACTTCACAAGGCTGAATCAGCCTCCGTTTCAGGCCGGAGTTGACCGAAGTCAGTCCCTTCCCTTACCTGGTCCCTGTTGTTGATGTTTGAGTATGGTAACTGTCCAGTCATCAATTCATAAAGAACAATCCCAAACGCATACACATCTGACTGAAAACTATATGGGTTTTTATCTTGCATCCTAATAACTTCCGGTGCCTGTACAATAAAAAGAAAGAATTAGTTTTTATTTCACCATGCCGGGCTGCGCCTCACATACCAGGAACAAAGCATGGACTTGTCCAGAATGTAACAGGTGCAAGGCCCACTCTTGCCTTCAGATGTTACCGGGTCCTAACATAGAGTGGATGTTGACATGAATCTCAAAATCCATTGGTGCATTTTAGCTTGGTGATCCCTTTATTCCTCTACAACAGAACAAAGTGACCTTGTCCGTGCTGAGAAGCTACTTTGAAACGAGAATTACAACACTGAAAATAACGCCAACTAACAGAGCCTTCATTTTTTTCAGGGAGGAGAGGAGAAAGTGGAGTTGCACAGGAGGTTGTAATGATACTTCTTATTAAGACTTAAGCAAGTTGTACGAGCTCTTGAGAGTAACCATGCTTGAACCCTTAAAACTTAAGAGCATCTTACTTTTGGCTGAGCTAGTTCCTCTGCTCCTTTGCAGGATGTTTTCCATGGCTTTTCTCACCTTCTCCTCAACCCTGGATTAATCATACCCTTTTTCCTTAGCCACCATTTTCTTTTCAGTTTAAACCTCAGAATAAGGGATGAAGACACTAAAGTTTTTTTGCTGACTACTGGAAAACATACGCTTAAAGAAGAACTGAAAAGCGTTCATTTAGTAGTTCGTATTACTGCTTATCTTCTCCAGCTTAAGACAGCTTGTATATGTCAGTGTGCTGGAGGGACAGTCTTAGAAACTTTGGCCAAAGGCAATTAAATTTATTGAAACACACACACCACTTCCCCCTTGCTTACCATCCATAGAATAGATCCAGACAACTGTTCAAACTGATGGGATCCGCTCCATCGTGATTTCACTGTAGCTAGACCAAAATCACCTATTTTTACTGTGAGGTCTTCATGAAGAAAAATATCTAAGGGGGAAACGTTAAGGGAAAACAAACAAGTGGTGCTGGTCCTGTCCTACAAGAACAATAAACAGCTACAAATTTGCAACATTAGACATAACAGTTTTAACCATCCACCACCACTGAAGAAGGTTTTCATATAGTACAGGTTGTAAGCAGCCAGCACGGTGAATTATGGTACTTAAGGGCTACATAAGTAATGACTGGGCCAGTGCTGAAAAGACCATGGCCCAGGTGGCTTTCTTGAAATGCCAAGTACGAGAAAAGCTGAAAATATTCCATGAGTGAACTGGCGTAATCTTTCATTACATGCAGAAACCAAATGATGCAAAAATCTTTGTGATACCACAACAAAACTTGCTACGTTATTGCAATCACATCAATAGACATAGTAAGTATTCCTTACTTTGGTACTAGTGACATTACCCCTTCTCAACGAAATTTCAACTCAGCATATATTCACACATGAACAGCTTTTCACATCAGTAAGTTCATTTCTGGCAGAAAACCCAAAAAACAACAGAATGCTGTCACGTTCCACAATCACATCTCTGGGAAAGGATACTATTACTCTTGAGGTCTCTGTGGATGATTGACTTGGCATGCAAATAACTGCAAAGAAACACCATAGATTAGGTGGGTTAAATGATATTTCACTAATCAACAACTCAAAATTCACTGTATTACTGAAACATAAATTCTACAGATATTCAAACTGCACATCTTTATCAAGGTGGTAAAACTTCAGTTATCCATGACAGTTCCTGCAACAAGCACAGGAAAAAAACCACAGAAATAAAATAAAGCTTAGATTTCCAGCTCAAACCTGATACTACTGAAGAATGAAATAACCATTATGCACCAACTTCTTTTCAGTTCTAACTCAATATTCAGAAAAAAAAATAAAAGAACTTCAGTAGTTTTTGACGTGCCATTCAGTGCTGAAGGTTCTGCCTCCCAGCCTTAATGGTGACTGTCAAGACACTTTGTGGGCTAGGCACAGCTTTAGGTAAGTAAGGTGTTTCTAAATTGCGGGAGCTAAATGTGCTTCCCAGTCTCAGTGTGTACTCAAGTATGCTGACTGCTTTTTAGTGTGGGACTGGAAAAAAAATCCCCTGATTGCAGACTGGATAAATAGATTGCAGAGAGGACAGTACTTGCCCCACAGCACAGATATAGCCTAAATTAGGCAACTAGTCTCCCACGGCTCTTTGTTTAGTCAATGGGATTGGCGCAAACCTGCTGGAAAAGCCCCAATTTATGTCTCTGCTTTGAATCATGCTCATAAAACAGCTTCTGCATCTCCACTACCTACAGAGGGAGCCTGGGGAGATGAGCAGGCTGACAGAAGGCTGAGGCTGGTTGCTGCAAACACCTCCCCACTGCTTGACTGAAAACGTAACAGAATACTTAGCAGAAAAATGGCACAATTAACTGCAATCATCATAGTGGCTTTCCAGCTGGAGGGTGATTTCTCTGATCTTACATCAGTGTTCTGATTTTGACACACAATATTGGGCTAGTTTTGTAAATTCTAACTCACTCAATTGCCCCCTATGGGAGTAAGGATTACTTACAGTCCTTAGAACAAAATAGGTATGTTTTCTTCAAATGCTGAAATCTAGTACTTAGAGAGCTACAATACTCATAAGAAAAGGAGAAAAAAAAAATCAATTCTTTTTGCTAACAGGGCTGTCTGCCTTTTACATTATCTTACAGGATTCTGTCCTTTCACTCACAGGGTGTTTCTTTTTAAACTATGTTTTACCTCCTACCATAAGACTATCTGCACTGTGAAGATCGTAAAGCCTGGAACAGAAATCTTTGCTCACAAGATGGAAAGTTTAACTGCACTGTAATTATCTTTATTCTGCTTTCTAAGACTATATTTCCTTGATGATTTCTATTTCCCTATGTTCCAAAAAAAGAACACGAAGTCTGTTTTACTAATCAAAATAATAAACACTTCACCAAATGCTTTCATCATCAAGGCAAGACCCTGGGCTTGGCAAAGTGGGTAGATAGCTGGCCTTATTTGCCAATGCCAGTCAGAGTGTGAAGGGGATAAGTAAACATTGCCCCAATGCTCATTTGCAAACAAGTAATACGATACTTACTCCATGCCTTGTGCAGTCTGTCGTGCAATATCAATTAGCTTGATCATTTCAAATTTGGTCTCAATGATGTGTAGATGGTGATATAAGCTGGACCCCTCACACCATTGTGTAACAATAGCCAACTGGGGTTTTGTTGAATAACCCATGAAAAGCAGGATATTCACATGTCGTGTTTTCCTGTTGAAAAAAAAAAATCAGGAGGAAATGAGGCGGATCAGGAAATCAGGAGAAACCCAGGCAGATCTATCACAGTCTAAATATAGATTTCCAAACAGAAGTTGTTGGGTCAATCTCAGCTTTTACTAAGATAACATGATAACCTGTTGCTAGATTCAGTTTAATGCATTATTCCAGCAGTTAGCCTTTCTTATCATCATGACGTAGAATAGCTATTCTGGGGTAAGCACCGCTTCCTCTTGCTTTTGCAAGCAACCCAGCACAGGACCGCTCAGAAGATGCTGTTACCACTAGGTCCCCTGGGACAGGGATGGTTTGCAGGCAGGTCTGCTTTTGTGTAACCCCAGCCCAGCTATGAGAAGTTGCTGCCCATAAGGAGGACATCCAAAATGAAATTCCAGTCTCAGAGGCTTCCAGGAAGGACAACCCTTTCGTTCAGAAACCAATACCACACTTCCAGGACAAGGCTTCAGTTTTTCTTAGTGCTTTATTTGACAAGAATTTTGTACTCTCTATGGAGCCAGCATACAAGGAAGGATGGAAACAGGTATGAAAACTGTACCTCAGTAAGGTTATGATATGAACTGGTTTCCAAACAGCACTGGGAAGAGATTGGAGTTCACCACAGAGATTTGGCCAGATTAAATCAAACCTACTTCAAAGACGGAGCAACTCCAGACAGAAAAACTTCACAACAAACAATGCAGAGAGGATTATCTCAGTAGATATCCCAGTAGATTCAAGGCCTGAAAGAATCTACTGATACACTGTGAAATCTGAAAGATTCTCCTCACCCTCCAGGCAAAGTCAATCACATTCCTATTGTCATCAAACGGACATGAAGAACTAGATACCTCCAAACATACCAATGAGATATTACAAAGATGAGGCACCTAAGAATTCTGGAGTATTTCCTAGCTTTCCCAGGAGCTGGGGAAAAATAAAGGCAATCTTCTTTGAACACAGCTTGGTACCGAAGGCAGTCAGCTCACTGTTGATGAAACCTGACAGACCAAGCTTAAAACCTGTGGTAGCTTCTTAAATCTATGCTGCTACTGAAGATGGCAGAGCTCTTTATGTTTTCTTATATTAAAAAACTAACATGGGAGCCTAGAGTATGAACCCCTTTGTCCTCTCAGCAATGCAGACTAGGACAATTCTACTCTATGTGACTGTGCCTTTTTCAGGTTCAAGGATTTGCCAAGTGATGCTGAGAGTAACTGCTGAGTGAACAAAAAATAAGTAGTTTCTTGCAAATCCTACCTCAAAGCTAAGAAAGTAACGATGACGCATAATGGAAAAGGCACAACTACAGGTAAATCTGGCTCATCTGGGTCAAAGGATAGGATAACTGACTGTTTACTGTAAGTGCTGAAACTATCAACAACAGAGAAATGGGACTGCCAACAGAAATCTGGACTAGGTATGAAATACAAGATTTTTTTATTTCATTCAGTTCTCCTGAGCAGGTATGTCAAAAATATGCAGAGATATCCAAAGTAGCATAACCCAGAAAACCTCTACTTCCACAGCTGTGGGCTTAGAGTTTTCAGAACTAACATTTCCTGGGGAGAAAAGCTGACCATCCCCTTTTCACCGTGTAGCTTATTGGGGATGCTCCTCCAGCACAGACACCCAGCTCAACACATCAGTTTTCCAGAGGCAAAAACCTTCTTTCTATTTTGTTTCTTAAAACAGAATTATGCTCAAGACCGCTCAAGATTGTACTTGGATGCTAATGGTCTTCCCCAATAAATATTCTATTGTATCATGCTGGTGGATCGTCTTTTAAGAACTGAACCCAAGACAAATACTTCCTCTGAGAAAGTACAAGCAGTAGACATGAGAAAAGGAAATCAAGAAGTGACTTTATGAGAAATACATTTAAAAAACCTCAAAGAGAAGTCAATGCTACTGAACAGAAACTATTAAACAATGGATAATACGGGCAGTGCTGTAGCCCAAAACCAAGTAGTCATACTCTCCTTCAATCTCAAAACGTGGATGAGAGGAAAGGCCGGCCTACGGTTCACACTTAGGCTTGAGTGTGCCCTGGGGTAGTGCAATAGCAAAAACCAGTCCTGTCTTGAGTGTTTGGACATACGTATATTCACAACATAGGTGTATAGACAAAAACATACAGGGAAAGGAAGAACTAGCAGTGGATACAAAGAAATATTTTAAAATGGCAAGTTATATTTTCTGCCCGAAGTATCATCATGGAGGAATAAGAGCAATGTGTGCTAATGGAAATCTAAAATCCAATGATTAATGAAGCATAAATCTACACACATTATTTTATGCCATTAAAAATATTCTTACCTGAGCACTCCTACTTCATTTTTAAAAGCCTGTAACTGTTGAGGTGTGGGTGCCGTAACATTCAACATTTTCACTGCCACATCACCTTTAAAATAGCAATTTTTAAAAAGTGCCATTGATACATATTCCTCTATTCAGAAAATGCTATAGAGAGCATCAGAAATATTGAGATACCCTATTTTCTAGCTTTCATGAAATAAACCACTATGATATTAAAATAAGTAAATATTCTGTAAAATGTATAAACACTATTCTTATTTCACTCTGAGAAATCCTAGCCAAGTCAAAGCTTTCCAAATACACATTTGAAATCCTCCTTCATCAAGACGGATACTTCAGCCTTTCTAGTAACTATGTTTCATCTTTACCCTAATAATTACTTAATTCAGAAGAACATGCAAGAGTTGAGTTTCTAAACGGTTTGAAGTTCTAACATTACCTATTTAGCACACTAATTATTAATTTAAAAATCGTCTCTATGGCCCGTCAATGGACTCTCCCCGGTATGTCCATGTCTCTCTTGTACTGAGGAGCCCAGAACTGGACCCAGCACTCCAGGTGTGGCCTCACCAGTGCTGAGTAGAAGGGAAGGGTCACCTCGCTTGACCTGCTGGCAATGCTTTGCCTAATGCAGCCCAGGATATCATTAGCCTTCTTTGTGGCATGGGCAGACTGCTGGCTCATGTTCAACTTGGTGTCCACCAGAATCCCCAGGCGCTCTTCTGTGAAGCTGCTTGCCAGCTGGGTGACCCCCAGCAGGCAATGTTACTTGCTTAAGAATAACTGTTTGCCATGATGGCCACGTACCATGCCACTTTCCTTTGTAGACTGTTCCAAATGATCCAGATCCTATCCTTTGTCCAACTGTGATCTGTCCATCTGGTATCTCCCAATCATCACTTGAATCCCGCCGACCAAGGGTTTTCTTTATATATATATATATATATGCATAAACAATAAAAAGGAAGAAAGCAAGTGCATTAATGTCTGTGAAAACAGCTCCTTTGTTAAAGATCTGGTATTAGCATTTCGTACTATTAAAGTCCTAAAAGGACTTTCTTTTTCAGATATTGCATTTGACTTTTCAAGCCAGCCATACACAAAACCTAGCACACAGGTGTACTAAGTTATTTCCTGGCATGAAATATTTGCCACAAGTTTCTGGCAGTATTAAAACCAGTAAATATTAAGAAACTCGCACCAAAAAGAAAGACCCATTTATTTTTCAATTCTTACTCAATCATAATGCTAAATTATGAATTTAAAAAAATGCAGACTTTTTATGTATTGTTACATTTGAGAATCACTAGAGAACTTTCAAAGTTCGTAAGTCATGGTGAGAAAAATTAAGCTGTTATTTGAAGGGAAACGGGCATTATAATATGAAGCACACCAAGTTTCTTTATATATATATATGCATAAACAATAAAAAGGAAGAAAGCAAGTGCATTAATGTCTGTGAAAACAGCTCCTTTGTTAAAGATCTGGTATTAGCATTTCGTACTATTAAAGTCCTAAAAGGACTTTCTTTTTCAGATATTGCATTTGACTTTTCAAGCCAGCCATACACAAAACCTCAGCACACAGGTGTACTAAGTTATCTCCTGGCATGAAATATTTGCCACAAGTTTCTGGCAGTATTAAAACCAGTAAATATTAAGAAACTCGCACCAAAAAGAAAGACCCATTTATTTTTCAATTCTTACTCAATCATAATGCTAAATTATGAATTTAAAAAAATGCAGACTTTTTATGTATTGTTACATTTGAGAATCACTAGAGAACTTTCAAAGTTCGTAAGTCATGGTGAGAAAAATTAAGCTGTTATTTGAAGGGAAACGGGCATTATAATATGAAGCACACCAAGACGTTTGGGTGCAATGCAGTAAAAGTGAGTACAGTCAATTATTTAAATGATTTATTTATCAGTCCCACAATTTCAATATTCTATTATTTATTGTTTTAAAGTCCTTGATCATTACCATACTTATCTTCAAAATAATTCAGAAGGCTTTGATGAAAGAAAAGTAAGAGGAACATGGTTGTGTAGTATTTCTATACTATGAATATATCATACTACGAATGAAAATAGCTGATCTTTCCCTTACCATTCTATTTCTGTCTTCTGAGGATGAGGATGATTTCCTTTCCCGTTGGGGTCCTGGTGATTTCTGTAACGCTTTCACATTGGTGAGTGACCCAGGCAAAGAGGCAGGAGGTGTTGCAGACAAACCTGCAGTTGAACCTAAATTTCAGAAACAGGACAATTTTATCTATAAGAAATCAGCTTACAAGAATGTATTGATATTAGGTGCAAGAATTGTGTTTAAGATGCAGTGTCTCCAAACATCAATGTAAATGTTAAGAGGGAACAAACATATACTAGGAATATTGTCCTAATATTAGATTAGTGCAAGTCTTAGATTTCAGGAAGAGACAAGTCTATAGCAAACATCCCTGTATACCAGATAGTCCCCAGTCTCTTGTTCATGAATTATCAGAAGGACAATGCCTCTTTAAATAGAAAAAAACAAAACAAAACAAAACAAACTATTTTTTAATTCCACCAGTTTCTTTGAGAAGAAAAGTAGTAGCATTTTAGTTAGCAGCAGCTACCTCTCAGATTTCTTGTAGTTAACCCACTATAGCAAACATCCCTGTATACCAGATAGTCCCCAGTCTCTTGTTCATGAATTATCAGAAGGACAATGCCTCTTTAAATAGAAAAAAACAAAACAAAACAAAACAAACTATTTTTTAATTCCACCAGTTTCTTTGAGAAGAAAAGTAGTAGCATTTTAGTTAGCAGCAGCTACCTCTCAGATTTCTTGTAGTTAACCCTTTAGGGACCCAATAAATAGGTGAAATACTGTACTTTGGAATCAAAATAGACTAAATGCAAAAAATTGAAATGTTTTCTAGTTGAGTCTCCAAGTGCCACCTGAAAACCATTTGGCTGTTTTAAAGCTATCTGTTAGCAGAGAGCTCTTATTTAAAAGTAAATATTAGACCGTAGAAAGGATTAAAAAAGAACAAGTACTTTAGCTAGCTATTTGAAGCATATTCTATTAAATACAAAAAGAACAGTACATCTGTAGCCTATATGTTATCTAAACAAATCTATGCAGGAAAATGTCACTAACAGAGCTGTGTTTCAGAGCCTCAATGACTCTTTACAAATAGAGCACTTCAACTAGACACTGCTTTTTAAAATACACCATAATTATTCGTAACAAGGTTATGCTGACCCTCCCATTGCAAAGGACACAAAATAGGGTCAACTGTTAATTAAATTCATGCTGCTCTGCTAAACAATGTATGTCATTGTACAAGACCTCCAACATTCCAACGCTTTCTCTCACATCAGTGCTCTGGGAACTGGTAGAAGACAATAATCCTCCTCATATTCCTTCAGAAGCCCCCTTCTTACCAAAAAAGTATCTCCTAATGCCAACTTGAGTTCAAAAATTGACTCTGTGACTTTTAAAAACTGTTGCTTGAGTTCAGTCACTCAGTGCGTGCTAATTTATCAGACTATATATATCCATCACTGCCTGTCCTCACTGAGCTAAAATCCATACATTTAGATGTGGAAGCACAAAATAATGACATACCAACACATCAAAAATGGGACGCAGCATCCATAAACTTTGTCCCATATGCTAAAGCAACAATAATGATGCATACTGGGCACCCCAACTATATTTACAAGCAGCTGGAAGCCAGTGACCTGGAGGATGGACTTTTGTTCATATTCATGTTACGGTCACTATACTGTCATATATTTATTATATTATTTGTCTGAAATCACACATATATGGAATTAAATGTATGATGTTCCCAGAACACGAGCAATTTTCCAAAAGTTTACTGGGTTACAGACTTTCTCTGTAATAGCAAAGCTCTACTAGAATGCGTTTTCTTTAGAGGTAACTAAAGTCTCCTACTTAAATTTTAATACCACGATATAGAAACACTAGCGTAATATTCACCCTTCACCAAAAACGCTCATAGCACATGGTAGGACATTATAGTTAATCTGTTCATTATAATACCAGATGGCCTGTTTTCCAAGTTATTAGAGTAGAATACTTCAGATAATGTTGGACTTAAGTCATTAGCTTGGACTCTGAAGCTGTACATAACGTATTCCATTCTGTAGCCAGTTTGCTTGTTGGGAACACCTGTCTTCTTACAAAGACTTCTGGAAGAACTTTACAAGTTCATAAGGTGAACTGCTCTTGATATATTCTGAAACAAAAGTCTTTGAAACAGCCAAGATGGTAGCATTTGAAAACCACACTACATGCACTGAACTACCCATTTCTACATGTATACGTATAGACACAAATATTTACATTTCATGCTATTACTCAATAGTTGGTTTCTCCAGCATATGAAATCCCACAAAGACTTTTGGGATTTTGTACAATACAACAACAGATCCATTGACAGCTTTAGGCCTGAATTACCCCTAGAGTCAATGACGTGAAAATGGAAGAGTCTTTTTTTACATGGTACAGGACACAAACAAATACTGTTTCGCTGGAAATTTACTAACTAAATAAAAACTACATGGTCTAAACCATCTAGGGCCCCAATGCGGTATTAATAGCACATTCTCAAAATGAAGTGTTTGTTGAAAGTTGACATGACACATTACTTGATAAGCTTGAGACCTAACAAGATATCAATGGAAATGTTTGTAATTCACATTTGATTTCCTAGATTACTTTTCAAAGCAAAGAATATTAAATACAGAAAACTGTTAAAGCACTGAACTGACTTAAACTGAACAGTCAAGGAAATTCTAAGTTAAGGACGTCACTTTGTCTTTAAAATCACTGCAATGCAATCCAAGGACCTTTGTTCAGAAAAATTACGTTAAGGTCCACATAAAAACCTCAACTATGAAATTCCTTGCTTTTGAAGATTTAAGTCAGACTTTATTTATAGTCATTTTCAAGCGTGTAAAGGTGAGAGTGGGTATGTGTGAAAAGCACATTCAAAGCATTCCAGCCAGGCCAAGCAAAAAACAGAGGTGTTTTGATAAACTCACACACTTACATACACACGGTGTGAGGGTGAGGCACAAACAGCATCTGTGGTTTTACTTATTTTGTTTGGGTGAAAACAAGAAAGAAGAGCCCAACTACCTCTGAACACTGGGCCAGGCTCAAAATCAAACACTATTTCACTGGGGACAGAATGAAGGAGGGGACTGGGAGTCCGGGATTGGTATTTCCGAAGACAGCGCATCAGCTGGTTCAAAGGGGCTGTTAGAGAGAAAGAGACGGGCAGGCAGAGACAGAAAGACAGACACATAGAAGAAATGAAAGAAGTCATGGGAAATAACTAGGATGCTTTGACTCCTATTCATAGATTGCTTCTGTACTTTGAAGGAAAAAAAAAGTCAATTACTAATAACACTGTTTCAGGACTGGGAATAGCCAATTGTTTTCAGATGCCAAGCAGACAGTTTATGATCAAAAGTTAAAACCAACATGATAGCACAACATTTAAATGCTGGACAAAATGGGCAAAACTGTGGAGAGCCACACCTATCAACACATACAAAAAGAGCTAAAACTGGCAACTTTAAATTAGGAGGCTTGCAGGATTAAAGGAAATTTCTTTTTGAAAAGCGTTCTATTGCTGGCATAAAGAAAAACAGCTCCATCAAACACAACGCAGTAGGTAGGTACCATCCTACCAACTACCAGATTTGGATGGGAGAAAAAGTCAGTGAGAGCCCACAGTACAAAACCTTAGAGATCAGAATAGAGTGCACCGAGGTAATTCAGACTTTACTTATGGCTGAAGCAAGTTATAATTAGTAGGAGACGATTGTGTTAATGGTTTGGAGTTGGAAAAACTGTCATGTGCCTGCCCTACTTACTATTTCTTTATTTCTATTATTTCTATATTATTATTATATTCGTAAGAATAAATACAGCACGTAAGAAGCCCTCTCAGGACCTTGACAGCCAGTGGGAGAAGTGACTTAACAGGCCCGTGCATAACGTGTGAAGAAAAAAATCTTCTGGCACTAGTTCTGACTCAACTGTGAATTAGGGCTGTCTGTTACCGAAGGAAACAAAAAGACCTGGCTTTAGCGTACGGTCCTAACAACCTGGTTCCAAGAGTAGCACAGGCATGCAGTACAGCAAAGCAGCATCTTCAGCAGGGGTAGAGGGGGAGAAGAACCGGAGTATTTCACGCTGCTTTGGGACGCAGCAGTTCATATGGAAGGTCCATGTACCATGTCGATGGTTTTCAATGAAAACCCCCGTTGTTTCCATGGGTGGAAAGGTAGCAACAGGCATAAAAATCTTTGAGAGAGAGTTGGGAAGTTGTAGCATATCTGTGTGCAGCCATGTGAGTGAACGAGTGCGTGCGTGTGACAGCAAAAAAGTGATGGTGCAAGACCATTTTAAAACTAAAAAACTAGATACCACTTCAAAACTTTTTCTCCTTCTGTCTCCCCCACTCCCAGAATGACCGGCAAATGACTCAAACCTTTGTCAGACAAATATTAAGTTCATGGACAAGCAAATGCAAATTCATTTTTTGTTCTAGTCATATTTTCCTCTGTGCCTGTGTTTTGTAGGAGGAAGTAGAACAAAGGGAAGGGACAGAGTGGTTGTGTAATTAAATGTAGCACAGTAGCTAGTTTAAACACTACTTACCTCCCTCTCCTCGTAAACCCTGGTCTCTAATCAAGTCCTATAAATAAAAAAAAAAAAAAAATTGTGTGTAATTTAGGTATTATCATTTACATTCCATAATCAAGATCGATCAAATTGAGAATCCATAACCTCATATATTGTCCATGAAATAGAAGTTGTTTCCTACCCTGGCTTACTAATAGCAGCGACTCCAAAGAACTATTTATAACAACTACTAAACTTTTCAAAATTAGTTGCTTTAAAACAGCATCTCTCAGTAGTAAAGTGAAATGTACATCACCCAAAATAGATACTGACACGAAAGTATTGATTTAAACACGCAGTTGGCCAAAATGCATGAAGAAATATCGAACCAAACATTCTAGTTACAGTGTTTGTGGCACAAATTATTTGAACTGTCATATCAGAAGCTGGGACACGAATTTCCTGTACTGAGGTACATCAGTCAAATGAGTTCTGCTTCGTTTTTTCTTGTAACAAAGCACCTCATTTGCATAGCCAGGCGCACTCTGTTCTTCTCAGAAATGACTAACTGCAAAAGGTTTCTTTCACTTGCAATCCACTTTGAACTGAGAGTACCTTTTACAACATATCCAGACTAAAAGCAAAATACTCTAAGGATTTTCTAAACAGAAGAAAATTAGAAAATTCTACCAGTTTCCCTCTGTATGTCCATTTTCATCATCAAGCTTTTTTTTTTTTTTTGGTTATACAATTACTTTATTCCTTTATACACCTGCACTGCTGCCGAAAGCACTGGTCCTGCCTCTCAGCTGCACTGCTGCCATATACCATATGCAAATGTCTACGCGGCCACACTCTTAATGCTCAACTAACATTTCACCTTTCACTCAGCTCACATGCAAAACAGATTTTGTGCCTCGGTGTCCAGGCAGACTTCAAGACTGCTCACCTGAAAAATGACTAATTTCTAGAGAGTAGACTTAAGGGTAAAATACAAGCTGTATATGTTAGCAAAATTAGAAAGAGGTGGTTGTGACCAGCATTTTGAAAGGTCCTAGCTGGCCTTATACCTAGTATCAACCATTACTACTATTTACGATTCAGCATCCAGAAATTTCAAAAAATGTGGAAAACAAGTTAAGTGTAGCAGTTTCTGAACACTCCAAAAGAATGCTCAGAACAATATATACTGGGCTCTTGAAATCCTAAGGAACATTCAGTAAATCAGTTTACCACAATAATTTAATTTTCTTCAATGCCAGAAATATTACTTGAATTACAAATACTAAAAATCCCTATCTTGCATATAAAGAAACATGCTTAACACATATAATGGTTTGCAAGAGTGGTTACTGGCTTTCTTATTCTTAATGCTGTGGTACAGCTAGCAGCATGAGCCTTGGGACTAACGGAAAAAAAAAAAAAAAAAGTTGTTTGTGGTAGAATGTTGCTTTGAAAATGAAAGGACAGGACTGTCAAAAGGCACTTTCTCCTTTTGGAGAATGGGTTATTTGTGTTCTTACAGCTCTCAAGAGCAAAAAGGTCTTACGTGGGATCTATGAAGATTCCACCAAGGATTAGCTCAGAAACACAGCACTCGTATGTACACGATAAATTTAACGCACTGATATTCATAAGGGAAACATCAAATCTGCTATTCCTGATCCAAACGTTATTAATACTTACCTCTATATTGACTGGCTCGATTGTATTGATGTGAACATTGGGAGCTGAAGAGGATCGGTCGCGTTGCCCAAATTGATTCCGATGGTCTTCATCTGCTGGTCGGAGGGGCTGTGGGATTGGAATGGATTTTGAAGGAGAAGGACTAGGGAGAATTGGTGGTCTGAGAAACAAAGTCAAGGAAAAAGAGGATTTAGGTCTACAAATGGCTTCAAATACTGCATAGTGGGTGTGGTAAGTCCTTTTCAACTATAATAATACGTACATTAAAAAAACTGATCTAAAGGCCTGCATAAAAACAATTTATAATGAACAATCTCTACTCCCCTATGATCAATTGCAACAACTCTCTGCTGCACAAACTACCTAATTACATGGCTGTGAAGTGTTCTGAGTTAAAACAGAACAAAAACCCCTAACATACCATACTAAACTAGTAATAATAAATCCTGATCTGAAAAATTCATATAGCCCAACATGCACTGCAGATAGCAAGATACTCTGCAGTTTTCTCACTTCAGACTTAATGCAGTACACTCTTTTTAATGGCAACCCATTGAGAACTAAAAATGCTTAACATCTCACATCAACATTACAGTCAGAAGATGTCACAAAACAAGTTGTATGGATGGGATTATTGTTCAACAAAGAAAGACTGAAAATTACATACTGGTCACTCAAGATAATTGATTAATATTATGGCCAATATGAATTATTGATACTAAAAATAAACATATCACCTCTTAACCTCAACCTTTTAAGAAATAACTTTGAATAGTGCAACATTTCAAATGTTATTTACAGTGCTACAGTTAGGCAATGCAATAGAACTTGAAAGATAAGTGTTCAGACTATCCAGACAAGTTTTCTGAAGAAATACAAATGCTGCCAGTCATAAATGCAGATAAAGTCTTTAATTTGGTACCATGAATCATATATTTAAAAACCAAAACATCTAAACGCTTGCTTTTTCATTTGTAAGAAGGCAGAATGTCACTACTTTGGTTATCCATTTATTTTAAGTACAATAAATTGGCATTTATCTCTTAACAGTGGCTGACCTTGACTTGGGTAAGTCTAACGACTCAATTTAATGGATATAAGGCAAAAGGTCAATGAGAAACATTTGCCGCCTTTGCCAAAGAAAACTTTATGTTTCTTTGCCCTTTGCCAAAGAAAACTTTATGTTAAAATATACATGATATCAAAGTTTTTAGAACTTATAGAAAACACAACTCCTAAGAGAAGAGTCGAGTCCTACAGCCATTCAGTTACTTGTGGGTTAGTTATCATGCCCACAGGGAGAAGCTTCAGAAATAAACCATGCAGCAGCATATAGCAGCAATAGGTCCTGGTGCCGCCTCCTGTAAGCGAACGCTCCTTGGCCTCTCCAAAGATCTTTAAGGGCAACTAACATTTTCAACAGGATCTCTTGACATTTTTTCAGAAACGGGTCTGCTTTAAAGACCCTGCCTTTCATTGAAGAGTTTATACAGTTTGGCAGTGATCCCAGAACTCAGTGCTATCTGTATCCTAAGCACCTGTCATCTTTTCCTTCCTGGCCAACAGTCTCACAATTGAGAATGGCAAAACAGCGCTTGCGAATTCATTCAAACAACAGTCTAGTAAGTCTTGTAATAAAATACTTAGATTATGTTTGGGAAGTGGGGAGGGGGAAGAATAGGTAGGGGGTTTAACCCTGCTTAACTTCTTTTAAAAAGTTACCTATTGTCACATGACAGAATATAAATATTGGGAAGATACTGGGAAGCAATGAACTGAAACTACCAATAGACAAATCTCTGAGGAAGGGCCTTGAACAGCCCAGCATTTCAGAAGATCCTCAGAATTTCAGAAACATTTTTTAAATGCAATTGATGTACATACACATAAGCTGAAGTTTTCATTCATTGCTAACAAGTGCCTTCAGGTAAAATCTTTTCTATTGTAGATGAGGAAGTTTTGAACTCCTGAACGTTTTTGTAAAGAAATCATGCAACTAGAACCCACATCAGGAGATGGGACACTGCAGAGATACAAGTGCAGGACTTGGTTGACATTCTAAGGCACTGTATTTTCATGTTAAGGCAAGCGTGTCAGATGCTGCACAGAAAGATTTCACAAGAAAAGCCTAAAAAGTGTCTCAGCCAGGCCAGACCTGTCATTGTCGGGATAGCTAACTCCTGCTCAAACTTCCTGAGAGTTCTCAGTAGTAATGAAATTAAGGGAAATGTGTAACAACAAACATCAGATCATTGCACTAGAAGTGACTGTGAGCTCTGCCACATGACGAGAACAGAAGCAATCAGATTTTCTGTGATCGTAAGCCAGCCAAGGGAGAGAAAACCAAATTGCAGAAATATTGTTTCAATTACATCCTCCTTTGAGTCATAAATGGTCATCTGCTAAGGGAATCTGCAAATACTTCTGTATTTCTGGTCACAGGTCATCGTGCCCATCATGTTGCTAGCACAGATCGCATGCTATGTCATACGATGTTTGAAAACAATTTGAATAGCTTTTTCTACTCATTAAGTTCTAACTGGGAGAAGTTCAGATCTTTAGAAAACAATTACAGGCTGATAAAGAACTGCCTTTTTTGGAGTCTCTAAACTATTACTGGGAGGATCTCTAGCTTTAGACACCAAAGAATCCAGAGATGGGAATCTCATAAGCAGTTAGCCGTGCACTCCATAGAATCAGGATTTCATTAATGGGTGTCCTTGGGACACTTACAAAAAGGTAGGCTATTTTCGCTAAATGGGAATTTTGCTTGAAAAAGGTAACTAGTGAAGAGAAAGACACGTGGTTTGCTAGCCAAGATGGCCTACTGAGATCACAAGCTCAGAAGAGATTACCACCAGCCTCTGCCTGTGTGCGGCAAAAGCTGTACCTTGATCTGCATCAAGGTCTTGAACGACAGAAAACACGTCACCACAAAGAATGCGGCAATCCTCTTAGCTACCAAAAGCCCGTTCTTACAGTATTCCTAAATTTTAATTACTCCAGGACGGTAGAAGGGACACTGAAGCAAAAAGGACCAGCCATCATCATTTGGAAAAGAGTGACATTGTCTATTCCAGGCGAGTTACAAAACTAGTTCTGTAGGCTATGCAAACATAGTGCCAGCAAACATATTGCCAAAAAAAAAGTCAAGAGGACCAGAACACAACTGCTGCAAAGGACTGTTCACTGTGGCATACACGTATAGCAGGCTGGGGCTTAAAGGAGCAGCAGTTTAAATACCAGGATCCGAGTTTCTGTTGCTCCTGTGGCCTTTGTGAGCAGTTAACAGCCACCCTGCTAGCTAGAGGAGACCTTCTACAAATAAGGTCAATATTCTGAGATATTAGAGAGGTTATACCACCTCATCTTGCACACTTTCTTCCAGCCTCTTAGATGTGGGCATTCCTTTAACAAACGATTCTCAGCTTCCCAGGCAACAAGCTGATGGAGTTCTCAAATCTTGATTTAACATGTTATAACCTTTCCTGGCAGTATGACAGAACATGCTTTTTCCTTGAACCATGTATTTGGGATAAGCACATTGTTCCCTCCCTTTTTATCAAGACAAAACACAAAGAGGTTTTGTCAGGAGACAAGAGTAATTGCAGACAGATGTAGATTTTTACCCTTTGTCAATCACAGCAAGTGCCAATGTGTCCACAGATTTACTATTCTACAACACTGGGTCCACGGGAAAGAGGAAAGTGCCCATACTTGCTATATTATATATAAACAAACAATTTTATAAAATCATATACAGTACCTCTACCGGATCTTAGAACTTGCAATGATACAAGTTAGTTCACAAATACAAAAGAAAATTTTAATACAGATTTTCCTCAATTTCCTTTAACTCACCAATGTGATGTTTCATATATGTAAGAGCTGGTCTACTCAGGAAAGATTTTTCTTAAAAAAAGGTTTGTTTGGGCTTCAAGATTTTTGCTTGGATTTTTATTTTGCTGTAGTGAGGCAAATACTTAAACTGAAAATTCACATTCACCTAGCTTCAGTTACAGGGCGTGTGCCACTTCCCTTTTAAAATGACAGTATCTCTGCTGGACTGAGATTTTACTTCTCCCCTCCAGCCTGAACAAGTGCATCTCAGTTTAGCCAGAGGGCTCAGTGTAGTACACACTATTCACCTGGTAGACTGCATACTCATACCCAAGCCAAACCTATTGCAAGCTAAAATGTGTGCATACCAAGGCTTTTTTTTTTCCTTTTGGTTTACACCAGCATAGAATTGGCTTTGTTTTTTGTTACTGCTGTTAATGAAGAACACAGTGCACTTCCATTTTCAAGCAGTTTCTAAGGACTGCTAAGTATCTGGGATACAATGGTATTTCAGCCACACTAGCAAGCAGGTAAACTGCAAATTATGGAGGCCAAACATGTTCTAATTTAATTATTGTGGTACTCCACAAATATTGCCAGAAAACAAAGTAATTTTTTTCTCTCCCCACTTCTGCAGCCTGGAAATAGTCAATAACCCCAAGTCAAATGTTGATTTGGAGAAAAGGATAGCAGTGCAAGTTTGTAACTACAAGCCAGAGAAGATCACACTCTTACAGCATCCTGTGAAGTCAGCCTAAAAGCATCATGGGACAGATCTGCAACAGTTGTAACTTCATACAGATTAGTGCATTCTTCTATACCATGATAACTTGTTTTCATCCATGTTGGCTCGTGGGCGAAAAACAACTGCCAGGCTTATCACAATGGTGTGCATTTATACTGGCCTTTGGGCCCAGATCAAAGCTTAGCAATGCTTTCCTAAAATTTCTGATAGCTTCATACACCAGGGGCTATCAAGAGAACCCACACAGTTGTCATTAGTCCTCCAAACCAGGTTTCAGTTCACTAGCATGTTTTTGCAAATACAGTTTTGGGGAACAAGAGGTTTCCCCCACCTGTTGTACAGACTAAAGATTATTTTTCTAAAGATTCTGATACCAGGCATTTTACGCTCAGCAAGAATGCATATGAAGTTGGATATTGTAGGAAGTTTGCTAACATTTACATGGAGTGGTCTGGAAAAGGTCTGGTGCCAGAATTTTTAGAGGAAAAGTTCATCATAATTTTATGCAATAAAACACAAAGCTTTTGCTCACTTAAACACATGGGGATCTAAATGGCATTGTAGTACTAAATACAATATTGTAAGGCCGTGTCTTTGTTTCCTTGGCTCTTCAGAAGCTTTTCTACACATTTAAATATCTTCGGCTGAGGCAGAATGATCAGTGAACATTTGGAAGACAGAAAGGAAAGCCAGAGGTGTTTAATCACAGGCTGGAGCCTGCTCTAAGGCAGGGACTGGCAAGCTTCCAAGAATGGTGCACCAGACAGTCCCCCTTTCTTCCTCAAATTTAGAAGATTAAGCATGTTGGGAAATGTTGTTTTTCAAAGAGCCAAGATGTTGCCAACCTGCTTACTAGCAGTGTTCTGCCTCAAGGAAAGCAGACGCTTTCACTTTATATCGAGTCTAACCTGCCTCTGTGCTATTCAAAGTCTGACCATGCGCCCCCTTACCACCCACTCCACAGGTTACTTACCCTGCCACAGTATCTGCCTCATGAGATTGCTGTTTTGCCCAACATCACAACATCTGAGAGAATAGATGGAAGTTGAAAAAGACAACTTTGGAATATTTTGAATAGCTAATCTCTCCCCTTTTTGTATACCTGTAAGATCCAGGGAACTGGGTTCACAGAAATTCTGTGCTCATATTTTACGAGCAAAGATACAGAAGAAACTTTATGATAGTGCAATGAATGAAATGAATACAATGTATTATATACAGTTTGCATACTTCAATTTTATTGCAAATGGCTATTATTAGGGAGACCTACACTTTTAATAATTCTTTCCAGTTAAGTGCAGATTATAACTAAAATGACTGCTTTGGCACAACAGGATAGTGCAAACTGAAAGAACTAAAATGGGACAGAAGACCTAATGTGGAGGCTGGACACATTTTTATAAGGGGTTCAGAAATGTGCAAGTGGGACCATATGTGCGCCCTTATCCTACAGTAGAACGTCTGGAGGGACTGCCTACGGCTTACAGTTGGAAGAATGAAAGGCTACAGGACTGCATTGCTTTAGGATGTTACACATGAGCAAAGTGAAACAAAGTTCTCCAGCATGTTTAGCAGCTTTTGCATTATGTCCAATGGTCTTTTCCTTTATGTCCCTTTCTCTTTCCAACTTCTCCATTTGATCCCTTGACAATTTCTCAGCATGTCACACACGCCTTTGCTCTTGAGCTTGTCTTGCAACACAAACTCTTCCTTTCTTTGGGCACTTTGCCTGCAGCTGGAATCCCTTCACAAGGCTAAAGATGAAGAAGGATGTTTGCCTTCTCTTTCCTCAGGTTTACCAAACGATTATTAACATCCCTTCCTCTGTGGGCTGTGCCATGCAAGATGCTAGGAGAACAGAGAAATCAAAGGAACAATTATTAAACTAGTAAGTGTTAATAAAGCGCTAGTTCCTCATATTTTCAATCCCATTGCCCAACTCTCAAATTTCAATCCCTTACTCTCTTCCCAGACAAGATAACCTCAAATGTCAGACCTTTTTTTTTATTCCAGTTGAACTGTTGTCCCATATTGTAGCAGTACCCTTTAACAAAACTGTGGGTAAGTATATGTTTTTATAGAAAAGCCCAGCATTTTTTTTTTTACTCTAAACAAAATTCAGAGGAATTAATATTTCCACAATTATGCCTTTAAAAAGCAGAGAAGTATTATTAAAGAAAGGCAAAAGGATAACTGGAGAAAGGTTTGGACATTGCTATATGCTCATACAATAGCATCTGAGCTGCTTCTGGAAAAGAAATACTACAAACACAGATGCTTGGGGAAAACTGCATGACTTTAACATGCGTACTACTTATGAACACCGGCTGATAATCATAAACCATTTTCAAAATAAACACAATTTTGAAGGCATGATGTATGCCTTTTTTTTTTTTTTTGGTTTAACAATGAAGTGTACAGCAAGGCAGAAAGCAAAAAGTAGAAAGCTAGAAACCTTTTACAGCTCCTGCAACCACAAACACTTACAGACGCAACACTTAGGAAAAGCTCCTTAACCTCAACTGGCAAGTATATTTAAATGTTAACATTTTTATATATGTGAAGTTAAAAACCTTAAGGCATCAACCAGCTCTGGTCTCAGTTTTTCCTTTCAGTTTTTACATCACAAAACTAAGACTGCCTGAAGTAGTGCATGTATCGATCAAGATAATCCATCCTGTTATATCCGCACAAACTGGTAAGAAAGCACAAGTGTGAGGCAGAGGCAATTGAAAAGTAGGAAAATTTAGCATATATCAGTATTAGGATTGGGGCTATATAGTGCCTTTGGCACCTGCAGGCGTTTAACACAGTTGGTACGAACAAGCTACTTCACAGATTAATAGTTCTAGCCTGGTTATAATTTCAGCATGTACCATGATACATGCTTAGCTTCGAGAACCACAGCAGCAGCCTTGTCCACAATCTGCTGTACTAACATCCACTACCTGGAAAAGGCACTTCCAAATTTACTTGAAACTGCACAAAATAGTACAAATAAGAACATCATCTCTCTTTGTACTTACCAAATGAGGTTCACTCTGCAGGACTGTCAATCTATTTTCCTGGGAGGCATCATATTTGATCTTTCATAAAATAGTCTTGGCTGTCCAGGGAATTTCTCTTCTAGTCAGAGTCCACAGGTGCCTGTGTAGCTTCCAGTTGTGTTTCTGCTTTAGTTTGGGCACAATGCTCACTATTCCAAGAAAGCCTCTCTGCCAAATTCAGTTCATCTCCACGCAGCACATATGTCCTAGGAATGTTTTTCTGAAGGCTTTTGTATTTGGTGTTCTTAATAAATCTGCATAAGATTTCTTGACTTTGATACACATCCTTGAGTTACTCTTTCCTGGAGATTTGTTCAACTATCTAGTGCTGGGTGGTGTCAGTGATCTCTCAGCTACTGGGATCATAATCTAAATACGATCACTTATCTCTTCACAGAGAGAGGGTCCAGAATCTTTGTTGGAAACGCAGGGGATGGAGGCTGCGGTCAGTTTTAGAAGTCTAATTTTACAAAACCTGGATCTGCAGCAAACAGATGCTATTGGTATATCCCAACATCTAAATAGGAGGAAGACAGCTGGCCTGGAGGATACTAAAGCAATGTGTATGTGGAAAAGCTACTGAAGCAGTATTATGAACCTGGAATTGGCATCTGTTCACATCAATCTTATAGTGGTGCAGCTTATTCTGAAACAGAGGTATGTCACTTCAAGGCAAATAAATTGTAGTTTGAGAGCACAAACTAAAAGAACTTGTGAGGATATAGTTTTGGTTTGTATTAATTTTAAGTATAAAATCTTTCCAGTTTAGACCAGGTCTAAGCTACCATGTAGAAGAAATCAGTTTAACAGGTAAGGCCCCAATTCTACAGACACTTATGCACACGTTTATCTTAAGTTCATTACTAATTTATATCATTCATGTGAATGAAAACGTTCACTTCTTTAAAGTTAAGCATAGGTGGATATATTTGCGTGACAAGCCAGATTACAAAAGTGTAGAGAGAGTTGCAAAGCAGTATTTTGAGTGTTTCTAAGCATACAGTACTGAAATGTTATGTTATTAAACAGCAGGAATAAGGTCATACCCAACAGAATCTGAAGGGGGCACTGAGGGGTACGATCCAGATGCTGGGGTGGTCTCTCCTAAGGAGAAGGAGGCCTCCTCCTGCGGTCTGGGGTGATGTTCAAAGAACTTGGAGACAAACAGCAAACTGTGAGGCAAGAACAAAACAAAAACAACCTAACTTGTGCAAAACCCAGAAGCTTCACAATATAACACCCAAGGATTTAAAAAAAAAAAACCAAACAAAACACAAAACCCCCTACCTATCAAATTCTAAATTTTAAAATAAAGACTAACACATTAATCTGCAAGATTTGTTAAAAATATTATTTACTTGACAAAGGATCAAAAGATCATGCCTTAAAGATACCTTTGCGGAAAGTAATTTTTTAATCTTTTAGTTGAAATTGCAAACATCTGGTTCCTCAAGAATGCACAACTTATACCTATATGTTGAAGTACACAAACTTATTTTAATGTTTGCACTGATGCAATGCCAAAAACCAAATGGATAGAACTACGTTATCCATAAGCCCTGAGCACAAACTCTAGAGGTGCCCAAGGAAACAGTTACACATACCAACATAAGCAGAAATTAAATTTATTCTTGGAGGAAAAACTAGCATTTTAAATGATTCCTTTCATGAAAGTCTATTTAAAAGACTTAATAGCCTCTGCTGAAACCAATTAAATAGAACACAGAGCCAGTTTACACCAGATCCTTAACCTACCTCAAAGACTTACACAAATAGATCAATAATTAAATTCAAGAACACGTGACTGTTTCGGACATTCTCTTTTATGTTTCTTACCCATAAACTAGCATTTTAAATGATTCCTTTCATGAAAGTCTATTTAAAAGACTTAATAGCCTCTGCTGAAACCAATTAAATAGAACACAGAGCCAGTTTACACCAGATCCTTAACCTACCTCAAAGACTTACACAAATAGATCAATAATTAAATTCAAGAACACGTGACTGTTTCGGACATTCTCTTTTACGTTCCTTACCCACGCATCAAACTCACTAATGGATTTATTTTCAACCACTGTAAAACCAACTGCAATTTCACCATATTAAACTAGTGTCTCTTAACACTTTTTTCAGGTTGAAGAGAATAAACCCGCATCTAAACATTTAAGGGTGCTAGCCATCACATAATAAAGAACCAGTTTTGATTAAGAATAACAACCGTGAACAATGGGAAGTCTATCTGATACAGTCAAGTGCTCAGCCACCCCATTCATGCTTCAAAGAAAGCATTTCATAGTCCGGCAAAAAAATACGAACTGGTTGTCTGAGCTAGCGCAGAGAGAATATGAATTATGCAGTCTCACAAGAACAGTTGAACTCCTGTATTTTTTTCAAGCACCTCCTCTGACTTCCTGAATTACAGATTTAACATAAGAAATCACTGACAGCCGTAAGCTTAACAAAAGGCTCAACTTCAAAACCAATTGTGATTACTTACTCAAGTTGGTCATAATTAACACACATCAGTGGTACTTCTGTACTACAGCGCTGGTGAAATTTGTAGCCACATGTCTGGCACCGGAATCCCTGGAAAAGCAGCTTTCGACAAAAGTCGCAGAATGCTAACGTGAAGAATGTTTTTCGTACCTACGTTGTCAAAAATAATGATAATTAGAGTCTTTCTGTAAGCCTAAGATAGGCTACTTGCTTTTACCTCCCTCAAATACACTTACAAGCCTCTTTTTTGATGCTGGAGCTACAGTTTTATATATCAAACAGATTTACATAAAAGATTGTCTCCTTCTTGAAATAGTCTTCATGCATTAAAATCTTCTTTCAACTATTTATTGGAATTAATGCTTCACTTCATTAGCAGTAAGAAAAACAGCAACAAATCTGAAGCAAAACAGTGCACTATTATCATGTTAGAGACAAACATTCAGAATTTAATTGGATACAACCTATAAAAACAAAAGCTGCTGAAAGATTATCTCATCTTCTGATTTCTCCAGGAGCCAAATGACATTTCTATCCAACACTCACAAGACTGGAAATACACATACGGCTTTTGTATATGGCTTCTATGTGTGGATACATACATAGTTGTAATTTTGACTACTGAAACTCAGAAACATTTCAAATCGCAAGAGGGTGAACATATATTATCCCCATATTATAGGGGGGAAAAATGATTTAGTTTCTTTTTCAAATTTAGCAATACTTGGCATAAAACCACATTCTAGTTGTATTACTACATGTAATAATCAACATTTCAGAAGGATGTAAAAAAAAATGTTAAGCCTACTAGACTTTCACCTAACTAGCCATAGCCAAACTAGCTTGTTTGAGTAAAATAGTTTAAGCAGCTTGCAAATAGAATTTTGGTTTTTTATTTAAATAAAAGGTCTTTCTTCTCAATGTGACAAACATTATTTCCAGGATTTTGTATGTAGCTGGAACCGTTTAGATGGATTCTGTTTAGCAGCTTCCATTTACTTGGGCCTTATCAGGTCAAAACATATTTGTGCACTAGCATCACTGATGATGTCAGCACCGCTCTGGGAATAGTTAGTTCATTAGTTAATTGCTGCTGCAGAGCCAGCAGGGAGGCCCAGAATATATTTTATAGATACAGCAATACAAAAATAGTAGATTATTATTACAGCTCTGCAATGCAGTGCTGATTTAAACCCCCTACATTTATAGATTTTAGAGGGTGTATTCCGTCCAAATGTGAAAGTTTTAAGGGCGATCAAGTACTCTGACATCACTTATTTCAATTACAATTCTATCTAATTCACTTAAGCTATTGTGATTAAAAACTTCTTTTCCAACCCCACCACATTCCCCAAATACAAAATACTATTCAAAGTTGTTAATTTGAATTTGAAAGTACAAAGTTGATTTAACCCTATTCAACATTTCATAAAAAAAACAGTACATACAAAATTGTGTGTTGTGAGTGGCACATTCTCCAAGACTTCCACATGCAACTCCTCTCCCGTGAGCCAGGAAATGTCCGTGTCCCAGCCAATTGGCTTCTTCTCTCTGGAGTGTAAATAAGCCTTTCATTAGCACCAGCGCACAAGCCCTTGCAGGTCTCCTGCTGAAGATGTGAGATCAGGTAGAAAGTTGCACTGGGGGGTTTGCTACCCAGTCTCTAACTGCAGGAAACTTTAAAGGCAAGACATTAAGCTCAGCACATACCAAGGAAAGCACGCCTTCCCTGGACAAACGAAATTCACTTTTTCAATCAGCTCCAGTAGTGACCGATTCCTTGGTTCCAAGGTGACAGATACCCTTCTGAGCAAATAAAGTGCTTGTGAAAGTACCTGTTCCATAAGGGTTCCAAAGAGATGGCTAATTCTGTGCAGTAAGATAATCTTTTTAAGGCTGGAAACTCAATTTTTTTTCCCCACAGGAACTCTGTATTCAGTTAAGAATGCACTATAAGTCAAATAAAACCAAAAAAGTTAACGAAACCTATTTAATACTTGTTTGGTTAGCATGAGTTTGATTAATGAGTGTTTTGCCAGCAGTCTATGAGCTCGTATTACTCTGTATTATGCCTGTTCCTGAAGTGATTAAATCTTTTTCTAGGAGTTTGCCATTCTTTTTAGACATGTCTTCAAGGCACAAATTGTTTTAGTGCAAAGAATCATAACATCCTGAACTTTGAAAACAAGTTCCACAACGTTGGATAGAATCGGCCATACTGCATAACTCCAAGAAGAGATTCTAAGAGCAAAAACCATCACACACAAACCATACCCATCTTGTATTCTGTAAACAGCACAGCATTCTGGAATAAGACCTCTCATCATCAGCGCTTTCTTTAGGCTGTCTCGGACTGTCACCCCACATCTTGCTGGAACCTAGAGGTCAAATATAAAAGAAATTAATTAAAACAAGTTCCAATTTATCCCCCCAAACTGATGCAAACATTTTGAGCCTCAAGTGCTAAAACCCACTTTTCATGATGCTTTACAGAATGCTGAGAGTTTTTCAAAATCTTTTTTGTACTGTGGAAAATTTTATTGGTGAATAGTATATAAGCAATCTAGCTCAGCTAGAAGAGAGAACAAACTCTACATTTCTATTAACATTTGGAATGAAATCTTGACCCAACTCTAAAAGTGACTTTCCAACTCTTTTCATCTTGAAGAAAGAGGAGAAACAGCACACAGATAGCTAATAACTACGTACATCTATAAAAAGTTCAGGCCAAGATGTAAAATTAAGTGGGGCAACATGCCAAATGGAATTAAAATGAAAGAACTAACTTGGACTGCACTCAAAAAACCATTATGATAAAATGTAAACATTTTATTTTCTATTTCTAAAATAGAAGATAAGCATGCAAACAAATAAAATAAAACAATCATCTGAGTCAGGCAGACCATCACCTCTCACTTTAACCTATATTTGCAACTCTACAGCCTCCTCTTATTTGAAAAACGTATTCCTCCCTTCTGTTTCAGTATTTGAAAATTTTAAATACCTAACAGGATGGGAAGAATGATGAAGCACACTGAAGCCAAACAAAGAACTGCAAACTATGCAAGTAAAGATATTTTCCTTGACTCTACTCTATTCTAGCTGTAGGCATATCTTACAGGAATAAGTACATCATCTCTAGGTATACCTGTGATTTAACAGTGTATAGCGTCAAGCCATAAAAACAGAACAATACATAATCTGGTGATTAAGTGTAGTTAAGGTGTTGAGTATCATCCACTTACTATTTCTAGAACTAAGCAGTGAAAATATGTAACACTTTAGCTGGTATACACACTGGGACATCTCCTATAATCACGGACAGCACCTCAAACATGAATCAAAAGAAAAACCCACAGACTTCACTAACCAAAAAAGTCTGTCTGAACACCTGAGACTCAATTCTAGCTTGCTAGTGGCTTAAGCCAGAGCCCTCAGTAGCCAAAACCAATCTCTTAATCAGCTTCAACTGGCTTTGGATCGGAGCCTAGTTTTTGCTCCTTGCACTTAAATTTCCATGGGTATTTAGGGGCCCTATGTCCTACTTAAGGATGATAGTGAAAAGTAGCAGTCTATTTCAAGTAGCTTTGTGAACACCACTTGAGGTTACACTATATATTGCATTTCTAGAACTCAAACATATGCTCTCTCAGAAGAGACAAATCAAAGGAATATTTTGCTTCACAATCTTCCTCCCAATAATATGAAAATGCTTCTTACAGGATATTTGTGCATTTCATCTGGTCAACATGTAAACATTTTAAAAAGAGAATTTCTACTAATTCCTTGGAAAAAACATCCTACAACGTACTGCTTTACAATCTTGATGTTCAGCCTTCAGTGACTTTGTTTTACACATTCCATTACTTCTTAACGCATCTTTTTATTAATCTAAGTAACTTCTTCCCATCCTAGAAGTTAACACTGTGGCTTTCAATCACTTGTAGGTCATTCCCCCAGCAAAAAACATCCTTAATTGTTACTAATACCTGTCACTGGTATTAAGAGGGAGCCTGGGAGCACCTATTTTGACACTATGTTGACAATATAGTCAATATTGTCAACAACTTTCCATTGTAAAACTCAGCCCTCTTTTGCTTAACTCTCTACCAAACTGATTGTTCACACTGAAACCAACTGTTCGTACGGTCGTTCTGAGACTGGTACCCCCTGCTCCCGATCCCTGGCAATGTGGTTAGCATAACTAACGCCATTTTATGAGGCAAGCAGCCATTCTCTGTGACCGAGTGGGTCACATATTTGTTCTCTCTCCCCTCATTATCAGGCCCTGAAGGTCCTGTGCACCAAGCAGACAAACCAAACAGACTACTTCTTCCCCTCCCCACCGGCCTCAAGGTTCCTGGGCGCCAGGCCGATTACTCCCATCCTTGCTGGCCTTGAAGGTCCCAGGCATCCGGGGCCACCAGGTGGTGGTGATGGCCCTGTCACAGAACAGGGAAGCATAACAGCACCCAGAGCACTGTCTGTAAGATCAAGCAGTTGTCAGTCCTAAGGGGGGAACTTGGACTGGAGCTGCTGCTGGACAGTGAGACCCAGGGCCCACCGTGGCCAGGGACGCCTCCACCGTCCTCTGCTTCCTCCCAGGACTGAGGGAGTGACTCATATTCTTTTATATGAATTTAGAGTCTGGATTATGATTGTTATATGGATACGGCAAACCATGTATTAAGATTTGACCCTATCTGCACAGGGTCCAGGTGATTAGAAATTATAAGTTAAGTTGTATTATAAATTCTGTATTGTACCACTTATAAATTGTACTATACTGATGTTGCTTGTAGAAATCCTGTGCCATTCTAATCATAAATTGTGTTATACTAATCATAATATCATGTTAAGAAAATAAAGCTTTAAATTTTAACTATGATTTAGTGTCGTCATCATGCTGCCAAGGATCCCTAAGAGAACCTGTCTGTCCCCTCAGTGTCAGGTGACAAGTTCTCCCTGCCTCCAACATCTATATTTACAAATACAGAGTAAATATTTTTAAGAATTTGACTAAAATGTCTGAGGATTTCAGAGGTGTGCTCCAGCCTCCCACACACGTCAGGTCCAATCATGAGCCACTCTGATGAAGCAAGCGAGCGTTCTTTGGCTCAAGGCTATTTGTCCTGTAAGTACAGCTCCTGCTGGATTGAGGTATAGCCCCCACAGACACTTCAGGTCTACCTTTCCAGCAACCTCAGATACTTCACCACTGACATCCACAGTGGAAGAAGAAATTCAAATACTGAGAGGGTGACAGACCGACCATAGGGGAAAAAAGGGGAATGAAGAGAGCCAGGAACGTGGTTGGGCATGAAGAAGAAATGGGAGAAGAGAAACAGGACAAACTTAAGAACTGACCAGGGAAAGCATGTGTATACTGGGAGAGGGGATTGCCATCAGCAGGTTGGTGGGAAACAACCAAGCAGGACAGAGGGAAGACAGACTGAAGAGCTAAATGAGGCAGAGGGCAGGAAACAAAGATACGATGAACTACTATGTAGGGGAGAACTGGTTGAAACAGCTGGGGAGGCAATGAAAGCACATCCTGAATAGGAATCTTTCATGCTGTGATTAGGAGAAAAGACTGCTCATTTTGGACAAGAAGCACCAGGGGGAAGGGACTGCCTAAGCAAAGCATTAGAACTGAGCATAGAAGGGGGAGAGGTTCTAGCTCAGGCAGAAAACTTCAAGGCAGTAAGCATTAAAAGAAACCAGGGTAGTAAAATCTAGACCTGGGCGAGGGAACAGAACAGGACAAGGAGGAAAAGCAGTAGAAAGCAGTGAAAAGCAGTGGAAAGGTGACTAACATTAAAGAGGAGATGAAGAGAAAGAAGGAAGGAGCCTTGTGCTCAACTGGAAGACATTTTCTTCCTCCAGCACTGATCCTCCATGAAGGGCAACAATATTCTCCAGTACCTCATGAAGCAAAGGTCTGCATCAGAAACCAAAAAGTTCTAACTCCATTAATGAATTACACTGCTGTAAATAATGCCACTTCAGGTGATTTTTAATTTTTTTTTCTTTAATTCTGCTGAAAACAAGATTTATTAAGTTACAGGCTTCCTTTTAAGAGATCATTAAGGCCAGAAAGGCAAGCTCTTAAAACTTGGGAAGAATCAGAATGAAGGTTGCCTACAGCTACACAAGTGCAATAGGACTACGAAAAACATGCATTAAGCATCTCGCTCCCATATCATTCACTGTTCCTCAGTATTACTTCCCCAAGTTCCCTTCATTAAAATCCGAGCCATATTTATGCAACTTGCGATTAGAAACATGAATAGTACATTTGTTCTCTTCACTGCCATTTGCAACAACATCCAGCTAAAAAACAGTTAGGGAACTGTTTTGATTTCTCTTAAAATCACCAGGATCCTGAATCAGCATCACATTTAGAACATTCTCATACAGAACTCCTGAGCAGAGAAACAGAAGGCTAAATTAAAAGAACTGAATACTAGAATAAATCCCTGTAGTATTGATTAATCATTTTCCCAGACTGGTACAGTATGGTCTATCGCCATCTGTGCATGTAGGCCTTCAGCCCCCTCCTTCAGTCCCTACCAGCACCTGCTGTAAAGCAGAAATCTCACCCTGCAAAGCGCTCCCCTCTAAAACCTCTTTTTTTCCCCCCATCCTCTTCTCACACCCAAATCATGGCAAAGTTAAAGAAAAATCCAGCTCCAAGACGGTGATTTGGAGAGCAACTCAATCTTAAGAAAAAACACACGAATTCTTTTTTTCCAGCTAACAGACAGGCTCCCCAAAGTAGGAATTTCAGAACAGCTTCTACTCACCCCCAGCCGGAGGGAGGGCATGCAGCCCCACAGCCTGGGAGTGCAGGGAGCAGGAGCCCCTGTGTGGAGCAGCCACACCGACCCACTCAGCCCCCAGGCTGCCTGGCAGGAGCCTGCAGCTCCAGCCCAGCAGGCAGGCAGGAACCAAAATGGGTTTATCAATTCCATCAAGAGTTTTGACAGGATTCCCACAGAGCATTTTAACTGAATCACATCAGCTTTTTTTTGACAAAATCGGTTCCCCATGAGAAAATTTCTGAGCTACTCCAGTATACGCACCCTTATCACTGCAATCCAGTAAATTGAACAAAGAATGCTTAATATTATTTCAAACCCATTTTGTCCACATCCATTCATTATCTTTTGATCCCCCTATTTTGTAACTAAAAGAATCTAAATGTTTCACAACAGTTACCACCTAGATATTCATGCTACTCAATTAGGGGATCTGTTTCCAAATTCTAATTGCCAAGGGTTTTCTTTTTAAGTTACTCATATACCTAAGATTTGTAGATGAGAAAAGGTTTCAGTTTTTATAACAATTTGAATAGTTGATTCAGCAAACATTTTTC